TTGACTATATCTAATTGACCGCCACCTGCAGCCCAGTGTAAGGGAATACCATTACCATTCTCGCGAGCAGTAATATCAGCGTTTTTTTGTTCTACTAGGTATTTTACTATACCTAAGTGACCACTACTTGCAGCCCAGTGTAATGGAGTCTTGCCCTCATTGTCCTTAATATTAAAATCATCACCTTTTTTTTCTATAAAATACATTATCAAACCTAAGTCACCTTTGTCAGCAGCACTAAATATAGTTTCATTGTCACTTATACCTTTTTCCTCTATAAAATATCTTATTATATTCGACTTATTTCTTTGAATAGACTCAGATAGAATGGTATTACCATCATTGTCTTTAACATGAAAATCAAGCCCTTTTCCATCTACAAGATATTTTACCACATCCAGACTCCCATTCCAACCAGCAGCATGCAAAAGAGTATTACCATAGTTATCTTTCTGATTAAAATCAGCTTTTTTCTCATCTACAAGATATTTAACAACATTCAAGTGACCGTTATCAGCAGCGTGGTATAAAGGAGTCCTGCCATTGTTGTCCTTAATATTAAAATCAGCACCTTTTTCTACAAGATATTTAACCACATCTAGTTCACCGTTCCAAGCAACCTTGTGTAAGGGAGTCCAACCATCGTTGCTTTTAACATTCAAGTTAGCACCTTTTTCTACAAGATATTTAACTATATCTAAATGACCATAATAAGAAGCTTCATGCAAAGAAGTTTGATTGGAGTCATCCATAACATCAACATTAACATGTTCACCATCTATAAGATACTTTATTACGTTTAAATGTCCATTTAAAGCAGCTCTGTGTAAAGGAGTTTTACTATAATTGTCCTTAACATTCAAGCCAGCCCCTTTTTCAACAAGGCATTTAACTACACCTAGATGACCTTTCCATGCTGCATAGTGTAGTGGTGTCCATCCATTCCTAGTAGCAACATCGTCAACACTTATACCCTTACTGAGTAGAAATTCTATTACATTTTTACTACCTCCCTGAGCAGCAACATGGATAGGTTTTCTACCATCAGTAGTAGTGTCTACAGAGATCGGAAGAGC